AATTTTAAAAGTTTGAATTCGCGCGCTTTTACTCACCGGGCGGCCTAGAAAAAACCTCGTCCCTAAGGGCTTTCAGCGTATTTTTCGATGAAAGAATTTTTTTGAATTTTTTCTTTATTTTTATGTCAATCTACATGCTTTTCTGCACATTTTGATGCAATAAACAATTTCACCGTACACCACCTTTAAAAATTTCAAAAATCAACCGGACTTTGGTAGAGCGCGTTGGCAAGTCAGTGTGAAAACTACCGTAACCTGAAAACTATTTGATTTTTTGTCGGCGATTTTTTTTCCCTAATATTCCGAAAATAGGTCAAAAAATTATTCAGGTTACGGTAATTCTAGAAAATCCCAACAAAACACTGAAATTCCAGAAAAATCGAAAATTAAATTTTCAAGAAAATGAAAAAAATCCTAACAAAAAAAACTCAAAAAATGACAATTTTTGAAATTCTAGGAAATTCTGACAAAAAAACCCGAAATTCTGGAAAATTATTAAAAGATTGAAAATCTAGAAAAATCAAAAATGCCAAGGAAAAAAACTGAAATTGTAGGAAAAATTAAAAAATTCCGAAATTTAATTTTCAAAATAACGCATTAAAAATTCAGCTTCCCAAGAAAAATGGTCCGCAAGCGCACTCTACCGAAATTTCGTATATTTTCAAGTTTTTTGAAATTTTCGAAAATCTGTGGAATTGCGATAGAGCGCGTATGCATGCCTGGCTGGAGGTCCTAATGCGAGAACTACCGTAACCTGAGAAAAATCGTAGATTTTCCGGCAATTTTTTGTCAATACACGCTCTCCCACAGAACAATTCCGAACTGCAAATTAATTTTTACAGAAAAAAGTTTGGCGCGATCACAATTGCAGGTCTAAAACCATAATTTCAGAATTTTTATCTGATTTAGTGGAGTTCCAAGATGATTCAAATGATTCTTAAAAAATTAATTAGTGGTTATAGATTCATGTATGGTCGTTTTCCGGAAGAAAACATGTCAAAAATGATCATTTTTGAAAGTTTTTTACAGAAAAAATCTATGTCCTCTTTCAGTTTTTGACATTTCTAGGAGTTCTATAGCTTTAAAAAACCGCAAATATTTATTCT